GACATAGACTGACTGTATCACCTTGGCAAATCTCTTGACTTCTCATTGCCCTAGGCAACTCTTATTTGAGACTATTGGTAGAGGAAGTTTCCTCTTGGGAGTTCTTCATAAGAAATGAAAGCATAAGTCTAGTCCTTATCTCCAAAGAATTTAATAGTAGCCTCTATCTGGCTCACTTTGATTCATAGAAGCCACTGCTCTATGCACAGCCCTTGTGTTAGGTACTGAGTGAGATTGAATAATTCTGGAACTTTCACTATATGGCTATAAACTCCATGAAGACAGGGCCCTCTTTTCTTCTCCCTCTAAATTATTTTACTTGGTGATCTTATCAGCTTCCAAGGATTCAAGGATCATCTCTATGCAGATGATTCTCAAATCAATTTATTTAGCCCTAAAATCCCTTCCTGGCTTCCAGTCCCATATTTCTCACTACCTGTTGGACATATCCAAGTGGATATTCCATAGACTTCTCAACATGTCCAAAGCAAAACTCATTACTTTTCTCCCCAAGCTCTCTCCTCTTCCTAACTTCTCTATTACTGACAAGGTCACCAGCACTACCCTCCTAGTTACCCAGGCTCAAAAACTAGGTGTCATCCCTGACCTCTCATTCTCTCATACTATGTTTCTTCCCCTCCCTCTGCCCCCATATCCAAGCAGTTGCCAAGTCCTGTCAATTCTACCTTCAAAACATGTCTCTTACATGCTTCCTTTCTCTTCTCTGATGCTCCTACCACCGATGTCAGGTCCTTATCATCTCGTGCCTGGACTACTACAACAGCCTGCTGGTTGGTGTCCTTATTTCAAGTTTCTCCCTACCCCAATCAGATTTGACTCTCACTCTACTCTCTCTCTCTCTCTCTCTCTCTCTCTCTCTCTCTTTTCTCTCTCTCTCTCACACACACACACACACACACACTCCTTTATTAAACTCCAGTAGCTCCCTATTACTTCAGAATCAAATATAAAACCTTCTGCTTAGCTTTTAGAACCCTTCATAACCTGGTTCCTCCCTAGCTTTTCAGATTTCTTAAGCTTTACTTCCCTCCATGTACTTACTCTTGGATCCAGTGACACTAAGAATCTTTGATATTCCTCACATAAGATATTCCCATCTCTTGACTCAGGTGAATTTACACTGGTTGTTGCCCCTGCTTCAAATGCTCTCCCTCCTCTTCTTCTCATTATTTCCCTGGCTTCCTTCAGATACATGCTAAAATCCCACCATTTGGAAAAAGCCTATCCTGATCTTCTCTTTATGCCAGTACCTTTCCTCTGATATTACCTCTAAGTTTCAGGATATTTTTCATAGTTTCTATCTTGTCTCTCACCTTTTTTGAGAGCCTTGAGAGCAGGCAATGTTTTTGCTTTTCTTTTTATCACAGAGTTAGAACAATGTTTTGGAACATAATAAATGCTTCGTGACATGACTGTCTTATATAAACTTTGTGGCTCATCTAACATTTATTAAATTAAATTGAACTGAGACAAATGGAAGATATTGTTAGATACCATGGCCATAATTAATGTGGAGGCTAGAGAGTGCTTATCAGGTAAGTTTTTGCCCTTTCTTATATCATAATTTTTATATCATAATTATCAGTTAATTTCTTCCATATACTTCCTTCTCCTTTTCCTATGCCGAATTTGAAAAAAAAATCTTTTTTTTTTGTTTTTAAATGTTTTATCAAGTGGTATATCATTCCAAAGTGAACAATTCCACAAAACAAACTTTTCTATTCCCCAAAGTAATGCAATACTGTGTCCATCTATCTGGAAATATCCTTGTTAATGGGACAATAAACTCTGGAAACAAAGGCCCTTCCACTTTCTTGCTGGGCATAGGTTACAGATACTAATTTATCGTGCCATCTTTAAAACCTTTTAAAGGCAAATTTCAGATTTTCTCTGTGGAGATCCAAGGAGTGCCTCAGATTTATGCAACCACCCACTTGGGGTTTTAACTTTTAACTTTCTGTGTCAGAAAACCAAACTCCTGAGAAACTTTCAGTTCAGTACTATATAGCTTGTACCTGTTTCTCAGTCAAAATGAGTCTCACCTTTTCTTCAAGTCTGCTGCTTTTAAGTTAGAAATGTCTCTTCTCATTTTGCTCCTAGCCCATCCTCTATATTCATCCCTTTTTTCTTTCATTCACTTTCTTTCCGTGTTGGAAATCCATTTTTTCTGCCTAGTCTAATATCCCTGCCTTTTCACATGGCTTCCTTTGGAAGCAGTTGGCGGTTACTTCACCACTCTGCCCCGCCCCCACATCATTTTACAGTCCCAAAATGTTTTCTTCTCTTCTATCATCTCCCTCTCCCCTACAGTCCCATTCCCATCAATACTGTTTTCAAGCAGCCTCGATGTGGGAAACCATCTTTTGCACGAAACTAGGAAACCTCTCCGGGGGAATTCAGCCTACGTATTTTTTCTCACTTGCCTCCTCTACCCAACGCTACCACAAGCTAGGCTGGTTCTCTCTGGTCCCCCAGTTGCTCTGTGTCCTCCTTCCCTCCCCCCTCCCCCCATCCAATCCGGACCCGCCACCCCCTCCCGAGTCCATCTGCTTCTGTGTCTGTCTCCTTGTCTCTCACTCCCTTCCCTCTTTGCCCTCCCTTTTCCACCTCCCATTCTGCCCCCAACACTCTGAGCGCCAGCTCCGCCCCTCCAACCCACCCCCAGTAGCTCAGAATCTTCTCCGGCCGTTGCCAGGACAACCAGTCGATACCAAGCAAATAGGCATCCTGCTAAAGAAAAGGGGGGGCGGTGGTGAAGCAATACAGCAGCTTGGTAACAAAGAAGCAATAAAAGCAGCCCCCAAATGGAGAGCAGAAGACGAGTCTGCGAGAAAATCTCAAATCGAGCACCATTCTGTTTCTTTGTGCATGTGTTGGAGGAAAGGCATCTTTCTACACAGCTAGGAACCATCTCAGTTTTAAAAAGTGGGGCGGGGGTTGAGGGGGGACAGAAAAAGAGTATGTTTCCAGTTTTCTGGGGAAAGAAAATCAACAGCTTTAAACGCTCATTTCACAAACGCTTGGATGCTATTGGATTTGCCCAGTTTATGTTTCAGTTTGGGACTCTCCAGCTATTGCGAGGGATTCGAATTTTCTTCCATCACTCCAGAAGATCTTTTGGCCAGCGTGCTCCCATAAGGGTGATAAGATATGTTTATTGGCAAGATGCACTTCTATGAAAATGTATGCACATCAGCTCTGGGGGAATATGATTTCGTGATTGAATAATGCATCAGAGTGAACTAGACTGTACAAAACCGAATCTCCACGTACGCTGTTCAGCTTGGTGATTTTCAAAGACATACTTGAACAAAGAAGGATTGGCTGAACCAACCGTCTTTGACACTCAGAGAGTGTGACCCATTTCCCTACAATAAGCAGAAAATAAAGCTGTTTGAAAATTCAGAGCCAGCGTCCTTTTGTGCTTTTTGACCAGAAGGAATTAACTGTTCCTTGTGCTGTTTCTCACCTCAAGCAAAGTGAAAGCGAATGGTCACTTCGGGATGACGAAATTCAACCAAGAAACGGTGGTCGGATTTTGCCACAAGTGTAACCTTTGGGGACTAAAATGCGGGTGGGAGGGCTGCTACGCTTTTTGGAAGGTTAAGTTCTTGATTATTTAAAATACTTTAAAGCATTATCTTGTCACACACAAATAAAGTACAGTACGTTCAGTGCCAGGGAATGCCCGGACAATCTGTGTAATTTAGTATCTTTTAAAATTAATACTGTATCAATTATAGCAGCTTTTCCCTCTCATCCAATTCCAGTCAGGCTAGATAGCAATTCAGTGATCTTCACGCAGGCTCTTTTCATACAATTTCTTCCTTTAAACGAAAGAATCGTCAATCCTGTTGCCTAATATTTCAACCCTGCTTCTTCCCCCCCGACACACACACACACACACACACGCACACACACACGCACACACACACGCACACACACAAAACCCAAAACCACCACCACGCACGCGCGCCCCCGCGCGCACACATATTGTAAAAGAAAGAAAAAAAAAATCTGATCTTGGCTGTCTAAAACGATCCGTACTGAAGTGAACTGCATTCAAGCTATAAACATGAACTCATACACGTCAGAGATGTGTCATTTCACTTTAACTGAAGATGCATTAATTCTGTAGTTTTGTCCACTGACAAAATGCAAGCAAATCCATTTTTTCCACAAACGGTTCCCTCTTCAGAAAAGTGTATATACATATGCACACATGGATGTATGTATGTATACATTTAAATCACTAAACGAGAATAATAAGACTGGGGAATTTAATAAAAGCCATAGTCTAATCGCAAAAATATTTTATTTCATGCCAAATTGACACGAATAGGGGGAGGGGTATGGCTGCCACTGCTGCTTTTGCATTTTTCACATCTGGCCTACAGACCAACTAATTCTAACTCGTGATCTCGTTGGACGAAACTCGATCTTCGTGGTTTAAATACCTTCTAAATCGGGTTGATTTAACAATTGAATCCAATTAAAAGGCAAACACTGTGCACTATCTGTTGATCCTATATGGACCATAGAGAACACATTGCAAAAACAAACATGAGCGAAACCATTGTCTTCAGGTTAACACACATACATACACATATATCCGAACACATACTCACACGCAAAAGGGAGGGAGGGAGGGAGGGTAGAGTGTGGTAAGGGATATAGACAGAGATATAGACTGACGAGTCACAGCAAGTCAAGTTAACCCACTCCCCGCCCATAACTCGCCCCCCTCCCGTGTTAATTAATTCCAAACAAAGCAAGCCAATAAAGTGATGCATTATTATTTGCAAGCGGAGGGAGACGAGAGGCATGTATTTTTAATTGATTTATTTATTTGGAGGGCATTAATTCTTAGTCTTAGGCTGATTTTCAAATCGTTTGCAAAACGCGGCTCCATTGTTCGCTCCAATTGCAAGCCCAGCCCCCTCCTTTGTGTGGCGGCGCCGGGATTGGTCGGCTGCGGGCGGGGGCTGCCGTCAGCGCTCGGGAAGCCCATTCATCTGTGCACTTGGGCGTTGGACTCCGCATCTTATTAGCAACCAGGGAGATTTCTCCATTTTCCCCTTGTCTACAGTGCGGCTACAAATCTGGGATTTTTTTATTACTTCTTTTTTTTTTAAACTACACCTGGGCGCCTTTTTTTTTGTGCTCGACTTTCCCCCCTTTTCCCTCCCTCCTATGCTGCTGCTTTTTGATCTCTTCGACTAAAATTTTTTATCGGGAGTGTATATAATCGGTTCTGTCTTCTCTTCTCTTCCACCACCCCCATCCCCCCTCCCTCTGGTGTGTTGCTGCTGCTGCTGCTGCTGCTACTGCTGCTGCTGATCGCCCAGTATTTATACCAACCCGAGGCTCTTTGTTTCCCCCCTTTTGGATCTGTTGAGTTTCTTTGTTGAATAAGCCAGCATGGGTGCCCAGTTCTCTAAGACCGCTGCAAAAGGCGAAGCTGCTGCTGAGAAACCCGGGGAAGCAGCAGTAGCTGCATCGCCTTCCAAGGCAAACGGACAGGTAAATCGAACCCTTGATTTTATTCACTTATTTGGTGTCGTCTCTTTCCCTTGTCTTCACCCCCTTTCTTCCTCTTGGGTTGTGCCTTGGGCATATTCGGTGGAAAGGAGCATGGCCGGATTCTAGTCTCAAACTTGAATGAAAAGGGACAGTTTGCACTGTTCTTTTCTCATAGGAGATGCCTCCCTGCCACCAAGAATGGTTCCTGGTGAATTTTTTAGTGTATGTGGAAGAGTAGTGTTTTCATTTAAAATGGCGTGGTTTTGAGCTTGGTAAAACATGATTAGCTTGTTGTCTTCCCC